GCATTTCTGTGCCATCCACACAGTGGCAAGCCGATGGGAACAAACTCTCACATTGGCTTCCCTTACTCTGCATGAGGAGCAGCAGTATTGGCACCAACGGGGGCACCTTCTGAGTTCAATTTAGTGGAAAGATTGACTGTGGCAGGGTTGATCTTCCATGTAGTGTACATGTGCCCCCAGATGAAGTATGCTGACAGAGTGTGTATCGTATCCTGCTCTAGTGACCAGTTTGCATAGAAGATAACAGTTTACCATAGATTTCACTTCATGATTATGCTCTTTCGGGTTAACAGAGGTCACAAAACTTGCTGCAGCATGTGAGCCTTTTATTCTGCAGTTTAAATCCTTTACAAAATAAAAGGAATGCTTTGCAAATATTCATGTCGTGCTTGTGCAGAGGCCATGGTAATTGTCTTTGCATTGTTCAAGCATCTTTTACGGTGCCATTCAAGCAGGGTTATTTCCTAAGGGTGAGCCAATTAAAGAAAGTTATTTCAACTGAAAGAGGGGCCGTGCAATGTATGAAAGCTAGCCAGAATCCCTCCCCCACATAAAGATACAATGTGACAAATGGGTACTTAAAGTTGTAGGTTGTTTATTTTGTGATAGGAATTTTTTCACTCCCAAGACCCAGACTTTCAGGGGAGTTCAGCCTTCCTCTTGTGTTTCCAGTCTGCTTAGTTTCTGCTCCAATTTTCATTTTGTTTTCACATTGGCAATGTCCTCTCTCACACTCTTTTCTTCCCTTTTGACAGTATCTTCTAAGTATGAAGTGAACCAAACAATGTTCAAGGTTAAATCAAACCCTTGAACTCATAATGTTTCAATAGGCTTGTAATTAGCTCCTACTGAGAAAAGAACAGCTTCAGAATTTGCCAGGATTTTCAGAGGGATTTAGTAGCCTGCTAACAAACCTCGTAAATGTCCCTCAGCTCATGTAAGCATCAGATATTCCAAAGACCACACCACACTGAGACCAGAGAAGTTTTTGAATGAAGCTACCTCAGACTACACACAAAAGCCAAAGGAATAAGGGAAAAAAGTTAATTTTCTAGAAGGATAGTTTAAGAAAATAAAAATGAGAGAGTTTATAAGTTTTTTCATCTTAAATGGAAAATGGTGTTTTAAAACTTTGTAAAAGTTAGAGGGGATTTTCAAAAATCAACATGGAATATTTTTGCTGTTTTGGTGCCAAATGGCATCAGTTTTCTGTAGTGTTCAGGTTGGCATACAAACAAAAAAGATGCATTTAAAAGGTATGCCTAGCAGACTGTGCACCTCACACAGGCCTGCTGACAGGGGAAACAGAAGGGGCAGTTGCTCTAGGGTCTGGGGATTCAAAGGGGCCAAAGGCTCCTGGCCACTGCTGTTGCTACAGAGCTCCGGGCCCTTTAAATCATCACGAAAGTACCATGCTGTGTTTGCTGAGTGCTGGAACTGGGCCTCCCCTACCTGGCTCAGGGCCTGCAAGGGCTTTTGATTCTCCTGACCTCCCACTATCACTCAGACACTTCGCCAAAGAATCAATGCACATAAAACAGACATCAGGCTCTCTCACAGAGAGAAAACTGTTGCTTGCCATTTCTACCAGACTGACCATTCTCTCAATGGCCTTAAAACATACACATTGCTTCAAAGAGGTTTTAACTCCAGACTTCAAAGAGAAGCTTCAGAACTGTCATTCATGCTTAAATTTGACACTTTACATATGGGCCTTAACAAAGATGCTAATTATCTCACCCATTACAAAGATAGCTTCCCCAATTATCACCCCTAATGTCATTACCTCACAGACACTAACCTTCTCCCCTCACCCCTCCTCGTTTTTAAATCTGATTCGTCAATTTTATATGTGTTCACTTTTTTTTTATTGTATCACTTTGGTATATATGATTGTGCCAATTTTCTTCCACAAAGTGATCTGAGGAAGTGGGTCTGACCCACGAAAGCTCATCACCTAATAAATCGTCTTGTTAGTCTTTAAAGTGCTGCATAGTCCTGTCTTTTGACTCTGCTAAAACACAGTGTTTGTGAACAAGGAATCTCACAAATTCCCTTTTGCCTGGCAAGAGTGTGAGATGAGTTTCAGTGTTTGTCCAACTCAGAAAGAGATCTGCTACCCAAGCCTTCACCCTTTTAAGACCCTCATATTAAATTTATCTGATAAGTAGCAAGTTTTATTACTGTGTTTGTATTAGGAACATACTAATGACCATACTTGGTCAGACCAATGGTCCATCTAGCTCAGTGGTTTCCAACCTTTTAAAGTATGAGAGCTCTTTTTGAATTTAAGTGCAATGCAGGATCTACCTCAAACCCAAATACTTTTGCCCCACCTCCTACATGCCCCTTCGCCAAGGCCCCACCCCTGCTCACTTCATCCTTCCTCCCTTCTCCATCCTTCCTCCCTTTCATTAGGCAGGGGCAGAGGGTTGGGACACAGGCTTTGGTTTTGGGCTAAGGGATTTGGGGTGTCAGATAGGCTTTGAGCTGAGCCTGGGGCAGGGGTTGGAGTACAGGAGCGGGTTTAGGGTAAGGGTCTGTAAGGGTGTTTAGGTCTAGGTGTGCTCAGGGCTAGGGAAGTGACTTGGGGGTCAGGAGGGGGTACATGACTGGGACAAGGATTCAGGATGCAGGCTCCAGCTGGACACTGCTTACCACAAGTGGCTCCTGTGTAGTGGTGCAGTGGGGCTAAGGGAGGCTCGCCTCTGTCCTGGCTCTGCACCACTTCCAAAAGCAGCCAGCAAACTCCCTCCATCCCAAACCCTGTTGTGCCCCCCAACCCCATTCTGTGGAGATAGAATACAGCGTGTGAGAGGGAAACAGCTCCAAGGCAAAGGGCAGGAGTTATGCGGCAGTGAGGGGAGGAGCAGCTGAAGTACTGCACTTGACAGCCTCTTGGCCAAACCAGTCAATATCACCTCTCAAAGGCTCCAAGATCTACCAGTAGATCCCGATCTACCGGTTGGTGACCACTGATCTAGCTCAATGGCATGCCTGTGTTCTGACAGAAGCAAGTACCAGATGCTTCAGAGGGAATGAACAGAACAGGGCAATTATTGAATGATCCATCCCCTTATCCATTCTCAGCTTCTGGCAGTTAGGGTATGTCTACACTGCCACCCTAGATAGAACTAGGGTGGCTAATGTAGGCATTCGAACTTGCAAATGAAGCCTGGGATTTAAATATCCTTGCAGGAGGAATAACAGTAGTTCGAATTAGGAGCTTTAATTCGAACTACCTAGTCCGTGCCGTGTGTAGCAGGTAGTTTGAACTATGGGCATTTAAAAAATGGCGCCCACCTGGGAACATGCAAATGAAGCCTGGGATATTTAAATCCCGGGCTTTATTTGCAAGTTCGAATGCCTACATTAGCCACCCTACTTTGAACTAGGGTGGCAGTGTAGACATACCCTTAGATATTTATTGACACCTGGAACATGGATTTATCTCCTTGACCATCTCAGCTACTAGCCATAAATGGAACTATGCTCCATGAATTTGTCTATTTCTTTTTTGCACTCAATTATACTTCTAACCTTTACGATACTCCCTGTCAATAAATTTCTGACTTTAGTTATCTCTTTTTTAAGATTAATAGTCCCAGTCTCTTTGATCTCTTCTTGCGTGGTAGCTGTTACGTAACTTTAATCATTCTTTGTTGCCTTTTTCTGTACCTTTTCTAAATCTAATATATAATTTTTGAGATGGCGTGACCAGGTTTGCATGCCGTATTCAATATGTGGATGTAGCAGGGATTTATAGTGTCGGATTATATTTTCTGTCTTCTTGTCTATCACTTTCCAAATGGTTCCTAACATTCTGTTTTTGACTACTGCTACACATTGAGCAGATGTTTTCAGAGAAATATCAGTGGTGACTACAAGATCTCATTCTTGAGGGGTAAGAGCTAATTTAGACCCCAGAATTTGTATGGGATAGTTGAGATTATGTTTTCCAGTGTGCTATACTCTCCATTAAGACCATGAAAAAGTAATTAGCCCGATCACATTATTCCTGACTGCAAGGGCAGACCTCCACCGTAGTTTTACTGTTCAGGAAGAGAGTACAAATCAAGTTCTTTAACTGTGATCTAAATGCCTAGCCTACTTCTTTGTGCTGCAGGTTGAAAATAGCAGTGTGTGTATGTTAGGATAAAAGGATAGAAACAGAGCAAAGAGTGGCATCTGAGGCAGCATGACACTGCTTTTTCTTCCAATTTGGGCATGGTCCAAACTGCAAATAGGCTCTTCCTCTTTCATTTCCAGTCAATGCCCTGTTAAAAAACCAAAGTCACAGAGAGAAAAGATGGAGAACTTAGATGACAAACTGTCAGAGTGTGACTTAGATTTGAACTGTCTATATCTGTGTTCTGACTCAATGTGAGATTGAGTTGTAAAACTTGGATCCAGATCCAAATCCAGACTTTTCCAAGGTTCAACAGAGAGTGGGATCCAGGGTTCTGATTTGAGCCTATTTCTAGTTTTATTGTCCAACCAGACTTTCTTGCTGATGTATATGTCTGCATTCGTTCCCACTGAATTCATGCCTCAGAATTCTTAAATGAAATGAAATGGGTGTAAATGAATGACAAATCACTAAGCTTTGCTTCAACTACTAGCAGTGCTTCAATTCACAATGTGTTTGTCATCTAAGATGGCTTTGCATCCAAAAAAAGTGCATTTAAAAGCTGTTGCAGTAGCCACTCCATGTATACCTTTGCTTCTCCATAACTGAACTGCTGACATCCGTAGTACTGTGAACAGGCCTAATACTATTCATATATATATATATTTAAGAACTAGTGTGCCTGTGTAGTGGGGCGACTGCTCCCTCTACCCAGAAAGGGTTAAAGCAGACCAGAGGCAACCTGAGCAGAGGCCCAGCCAATCAGAAACAGGCTTGTAGGGAGCCAATCAGAGGGCAGCTTACTGGATCAGCCCTTTTATGAGGACCTGCTCAGCAGATTAGAAGACAGTTGTGTCCTGTCAAGCAAGGGTGCAGGACTGGCTCCCAGCGATGGAAGAGCACCTTCGTAGAGCAGTACTGGGCAGGCTTTGGGGAGTTAGAGAGTGAGTCTCTGGCCTGATACTTCATAGGCTGTGGCCTTGATACTGGACCAAGGAGGTGGAAAGGGTTACAGGAAAAGAGGCCCAGGAAATGATAGGCAACAGAGGGCAAAGGAGGAGGGCAAGCAGCTGCCAGAGGGGCTGAGGGCCAGGACCCAGAGTAGCGGTTGGGCCTGGGTCTCCCCCTTCTCTCTTGCACTGCACCCAGCCCATGGAAGAGTGGCCTTTATAGACTGTGGCTTGTCCCTGAGATGACAGGCTAGACTGGGGCTGCAGTTGGCCAAAGTGGCAGAGGCCCAGAGCTAGAAGATGGAGAGAGCACAGAGTGACAACGGGTGAGACACCGGCCAGAAAAAGGCGTCCTGCTGAGAGTCAGAGCTAATTCTGGAATGACCAGCAGGAGGTACCACTGTGGTGAGTTGACCCCATTACAGCCTGATACTGAGATACATAGGACAATATTAGGGTTTTTACTTAGCTATTGGCCTATGCCTTGGATGTATAATGAAACATACAGCTAAAGCCATAGATCCAAATTCTATGCTCATTTACATAGTTCTTCTGTTACCTGCAACTGACCACTACAGTCCTTGGAGTTATATTGGATTTACACTCACAATCATATAACTGGGGGTAGAATTTGGCCCTTATTATTTAAATAGTAGTAGCAGCAGCAGTTTATAGTTCATTGTGTCACACTGTGAGCTCCCAAAATGTAGCCTGAACTATAAATCTGAGGAGTGTCTGGAAAATACAATTGCTGTTTGAACATCAAGCACACACTGTCCCTTCCTCTTCCTTCACTGAGTTAGTTTTTAAAAGGCCAAAAGCTGCTGTTGAGATAACAAGGACTAAAGAACTTACAGCAGGTGGTACCGACTGTGCAAGTATAACTCCAAACCAAAATAATATGGCACCCAGCTGTGGAGAAGCCTAGGGGATCTGAGAGTGACTCGGTTAGGAGGAAGTGAAAATAGAGAGTCTGGCTGGAGCCTTAGCCTTCCAGAAGTGTGTTACTATTTTCTCTTAATCTGTGAGAGAGCCCCGGGGAATGCCATGGTTAACATTAAAATAACCTCCTGGCTAGGCAGGAAGCAGATATATTCAAAAATATTCATGAACCAATTAGACAATCTCCATCCCAATATACAGCGAAATTGCAGAACAAAGCTATGAAACATTGTGTCAGACAGTGGGGCTCTCAGTATGTTTTGACACATAGAAGTTCATAAACATTATAAAACCATGCCATGCCATGCCATACATGCAGCTAAGAAACAGCCATATTAGTAGTAAATATGCTACAGGGAGCCAGGAAACACTACTGAGTTTGATTTCTGCCTATGCCACTTATTAGCTATGTGGACTTGAGTAAGTCAAGGTAATATTGCCCAGAAATAGCTGTGAGGAGGTTTCTGTTCTATGTCTGGCTCTGCCACTGAACCACAATTGTCTTGGATATGTCATTTAACTGCTCTGTGTTTCAGATTCCTCATCTATAAACTGAGAAAGATGGGACTTTTACTGAATCTACCTCTACAAAGCACTTTGAGGTCTAATGGGGGATGTGCTAAGTGTTAGCAGTAGGAAGTAACAAGTAATGATATTTTAAAATTATTAAAACATCTCTGTGTTTCAGGTTCTCCTCTGGTAAATTGGGGATTGTAATACTTATCTACCTAGGGTGTATGAAGATAATTCTTCACCTTTTGTGGAACTGTAAAAAATCCACATTTTAAACCCCAAGACATAGCTGCTTTATGTTAAAAGCATGAAATTCATAGAAATTTTATGTGGATTTTACTGATAATTGCTGTCAATTTTGTGAAAATAATGGGAATTAACACAGCACTGTGCTGGACAAAGTTCCATACATTTTCACAAACCATTTACCGGAGGTATCCTGGAAAAAGTTTAGACATTGCCTCAGTGGGATAAAGGAAATAGATAGGCAATAGCTAGTTGCATGACAGCCAAAGACTTTCCAAAATATTATCTTAAACCTTTTTGGAGTATTGTAGAAGTGGGGGAAAGATTATGATTCCAATCTAGTTTTCAGTGGCATCATATATGGGAGATTGATTCTGCTTTCCTACTGGTTCTATGCCCATGTAACTCTATTGACTTCAGTGAAGTTGCTCCTGAGGTAAATGAGTGATGGTTGCAAAATAATATTGGATCCACCTTAACTACACTTTTACTATGCCTTATTCCAGGTGTATGTCCTCTCAATATTGTAATTCTTTATACAATTTTCAAAGAAGTGATCTTTCTAGCTAAAGTTTTCTGTTTTTATTTTTTGCATGGAATTATTAATGTGTCTTCGGCAGTTTTTTCTTTCACTGAGTGAACCAAAATATGTACAGACATTGAAATCATCTGCTAGAAGATATCCAATAGTATGCTCACCCTCAGGAAAATCCAACATAAGCTATGCCAGACAATTGAGAAAGCAAAGCTCATGTGTGTGTTTGTTATTGCACAATGAACTTAGAACAGTACCAGTGATAAAACCAAGGGGAAGATATTGAAAACTATTCCCTGCTTTTGCTTAGTCTTTCAGAACAGATGGTATAGTTGTGCTGAGGGTTGTGTGATCTTGCTGTAACCAGAGGTGCATAGTGCAGAGCATTCACCTGAAAGTCAATGCTAGTGGTTGAAAGAGATGTGTTGTAGAATGACCATTAGTGAGCTCTGAAGCTCGTAGAGTTGTTTCTCAATTTGTCCACATACATAAAGTCTACTCCACCTATGCTGCATTCAGCCTAAAAACAGATAGATAAAAAAGAGAGCTAATATGCAGTAAGCTGACTTTATGTTTATCTTATTCTGTGCCAGTCTTCTCCACTCAACCCAACATGGTTCTGAGTAAGGTGTATGTATATGGACAACTAACTCATTCTGCAGATTTTTCCCCCCAACCGATATATAGCGTATGTCAGTGGTCACCAACCAGTAGATCAAGATCTATTGGTAGATCTTGGGGTATGTCTACACTACAGTGCTATTTTGAATTAACTTAATTTGAAATAGTTAATTCGAATTAAGCTAATTCGAAATAACGCATCTGTACACAAAAACTATTTTGAAATAGCGTTTTGCTATTTTGAAATAGCACATCCACACTGAGTGGACCCTGAACCGAAGTTAAGGCTGGCTGGAACCAGTGCCGGCAGGGCATCAGGTTTGGACTTAGTGTGTGGGGCTGCTGCCTGAGGCTAACTGAACTCCGTGCTTAAAGGGACCCTACTCCCACCCTGGACAGACAGTTCTCAGGGTTCCCCGCTTGCTTGTCTACCTCGATGAGGGACAGCAAAGCAGTCCTGTCTTGGAATGCCCTGAGTGCCCGAACTCGGGACACCACAGCACTCGGACACATGGAGCCAGAGGTGCCCCTGGGCATGCCGGTCTCGTGGGGTCGTTGCCATCAGTCCGGCTGCACTTGCTGCAGGCTGCCATCCGGGGGATCCACCAGGGGACTGTCAGGATTCAGGAGGCCCTGAGGGAGAGTGTCCACCCCGAGGAGCTCTCAGAGCCTCCCTGGTCCTTCCCACTGGTGGCTCGTGCCCCATTCCTCCCTCACATCCATCCACTTACCCTTCGCTAGCCCCCCTTCCTGATGTCAAATAAAAGACACGTATGTTCAAAAATAGAAACTGGATTTATTGAACAATACTGGGGAAGGAGGGATGAACCTCTGGGGAGACTGGCAAAAGGAGGTGAGAGAGG